ATTCCATTTTTTTGATATTTTGATAAATATTCGCTTGAAAAAGTTGCCCTTTTTTTAAAAAAATATTGTTTTTCAAAATAGTTCGGAATTTCTAAAAAGAAAGCGGCATTTGTAAAAATGCTCCAAATTTGAAAAATATTCATGTTTTAGTGAAATTTTCAAAACTAAAAATAATACTGTTGTATAAAAGATACACCTTTTCTAAAAATCTTATGAATTTTCAACACATGTTCCCGTTTAAAAAAATGTTGTCATGTTTTTGTAAAAAAATTTGGTGTTTTCATAAAATATTTGTGAATTTTAAAAGATGCTGTCATGTTTTTATAAAAAAAGTTGGTGTTTTCATAAAATATTTGTGAATTTTAAAAGATGTTGTCATGTTTTTATAAAAAAAAAGTTGGTGTTTTCATAAAATATTTGTGAATTTTAGAAGATGTTCCCTTTCATATTTTTGTTCGCGGTTTTTCGAAAGTGAACATAATTTTTAAAAAGCTGTTCAGAATTTTAAAAACTGTTGATGCTTCCTAGAATATTTGGAAATTTCATACCTTAAAATCCCCTTGATTGAAAGGATTGAAAGGAGCAGTAGATTTAAAAACAAATTGTTAATGTTTCCAACAGATTTCAATTCCCGTTCTGCCCAAACATGGTTCTAATGTAAATCTAACTATGCAACTAGCCTATATATCATGATTCCTAACAAAATAAACCATTTCAGAAAAACAATTACAGATCTGTTGCATTACCTCGCGCCGCCAGCAGGACAAGGAAGCTTGCGCCGGCCTCGAGCTGCGCTTCTTCTCTTCGACGCTGCTGCTACACTCCGCCTCACAATCGTCTGGGACAGCTGAGATTGAGGCTGGGATTGGTTTTCGACCGCAAAGCTAATGCTGCCTAGCCAGTTATCAACCTCAACGAAGACAGCATCCCCGCCGCCCAGCACGTCGGGGGGCGCTCCTCCAAGCGATTCGGCGTCGGAGTTTGGATCCGCCGCCGCCATGAACGAAGACAGCTAGGGCTAGGATAGTGAGCTCGGGGGAGAGTGAGGGGGGAGGACGACGAGCGAGCCGGTCGGCCAGGTTAGTCCTGGTCCGACCGGGCCCGACAGACGCGCGCGGCTAACGGGCGGCAGGTGAGCGCCGCTAGCTGTTAGCGCGGCCGCCGTCCTGACTGGTGGGCCAGATCTGTCAAAAAGGCGTTTAAAACGGTTCAATCTGTCATCAACTTGACCTGATAGTTTTTTGTCACGAAATCAGCACTAAACTGAAGTTTTTGGTCAGTTTTCAAGATGTGGTAGTTCTGTGGGATGGTAACGTGAAATGTGATAGTTTTTTGTCAATTACTCGTCATTCCATCTTGCCCTGACCCGGCCTAGACTTGGGCAAATTTAGCCTTCATCCAGAGACGAAGAAGAAGAAAACCCAGAGAGACAGAGAGCATGTATCGCATCCTTGCACAAATGTAACCCTGCGAAGGACATGCATGCATGCGAGCACACCGGGTCTTCTTCATGATCTCGCATGCAACTGCCGTTTTCCTTTAGACGAAGTCACTTGGTGAAACGAGCAGCTGCGCGGCCTATTTATGCACACCGCATCACAAATCTCGGGCGGTGTACGTCCACGGTGGTTCCGGCTCACACCTCTCGCTGCCACTCACATGGCGGTCGCCACCGTGTCTGGCGTGATCTCCGCCCTGCTGGTTCTCGCCGGAGTCGTGGTCACGGCGGAGCCTCCTCCTGCGGCGGGAGGGCCACCTCCGGTGCCGGTGGGGCCGCCCAAGGCGCCTCCGTTGCCGGCCGGGCCGCCTAAGTTCCCGGCGATCCTCGCGTTCGGCGACTCGGTGGCCGACACGGGCAACAACAACCACCTCCGGACGTTCATCCGGGCCAACTTCCCGCCCTACGGCAAGGACTTCCCCGGCCACAAGCACACCGGCCGCTTCTCCAACGGCAAGATCAGCGTCGACCTCCTAGGTATGTACCCACCACCATTACCCACTACTACTTTTGCCATGAAAATGTATTTTTCACGGTATAATTTCCCAAACAGCCAAGGATCAGTTTGTTTTGGAAATGCGTGCGTGCGTGCAGCGTCGGCGCTGGGCGTGAAGGAGCTGCTGCCGCCGTACCTGAAGAAGGGCCTCTCCATGGAGGAGCTCCAGACCGGCGTGAGCTTCGCCTCCGCGGGCAACGGCTTCGACAACGCCACGTGCCGGACCATGTCGGCGCTGACGATGGAGCGGCAGCTGCAGCTGTTCCAGGAGTACAAGGAGAAGGTCGGGGGCAGCATCCCGGACAAGACGCTCTACTTCATCGTCACGGGCACCAACGACATCGTGGAGCACTTCACCTTCGCGGACGGCATCACGGAGCCCGGGTACGCCGAGAACATGGTGAGCCGCGCCATCGCCTACGTGCAGTCGCTGGCGGACCTGGGCGCGAAGCGGATCGCGCTGGTGGGGGCGCCGCCGGTGGGGTGCCTGCCGTCGCAGCGCATGATCGCCGGCGGGCTCCGGAAGCAGTGCGCCACGGACCGCAACCAGCTGGCCCTGCTCTTCAACCACAGGGTGGGGCAGGAGATGGCGAAGCTGCGCGCGAGGCTCCCCGGGGTCACGCTGGTGAACGTCGACATCTACATCATCTTCGCCGACGTGGTCCACCGGCCCGAGGCGTACGGGTTGACCAACACCCACGACGCCTGCTGCGGCTACCTCGGGCTGGCCGCCGCCGTGCTCTGCAACTTCGCCAGCCCGCTCTGCAAGGACCCCTCCAAGTACTTGTTCTGGGACAGCTACCACCCCACCGAGAGGGGCTACCAGATCCTCGTCGACGCCATCGTCGCCAAATACTTCAGATTCATGCACTAGCGACAGCAACTTTCTTTTCTCTCTCTCCTCTCTCTCTCTTTTGGTAGCATAGTATGATTCACTAGCGAGTTTTTTAATAAGGGTAATATACGTCATAGGAGTGCTCTGCCTTTTATTTCATTTTAGAGTAAATTCCACCTTGTACATGCAAATATGTCGACAAGCTAAATAGTTGGTCCTCACTAACTCCAAATTCTTTTACCATACAACCATGTTTGTCAACTCACTATGCTAAAATGCGTGAAAAAAATGCATTTTTAATGCAACTATGCCAACTCACCATGCAACAATTCACGAAAAAGATCCACCTTTAACGTGCATCATGCATGATACTCGTGTTCAATATATATTTTACAACTATACAATAATCAGTAGCTTATAAGTATTTTAGTTTAGAATCTCATATTGTTAATCTAAATTGTTTCATACAACCAAATCTCATTTAGATAATTGCAACCAATTCCCACGGCAACACCCGGGGTATCATCTCTAGTTGTAATTACTCCTTTGTGGCTTCTATTTTCGTTGTTAAGTTCCCACAAAAATTGTATGGGGTGACAAGCATGTACCATAGCACACACAAGTCAAAAACTGCAAGCATAAGAATAAAATAGAAATGACACGTACTAAGCAACAAGATTTCTTTAGATATTCACAAGATTGTTTTTGAGAATTTGAGAAATAATGAACATGTAGGACACACATGGATTTTCTATAAGGTCAAATTTATGTCTGAATTTCTCAAAAATTCATATATCTCAAGCTATTCCTCATGGAAAATCACAGAGTTCCTACAACACTCCAAAGGCAAATGGGGCCCTAGAGCATAGAAGCTATAGATGATAAACTTGTTGAGAAGATTAAATACAATAATAAGTAGTGATTCTCTCAAGTCTCAACACAACATGTCTCTTACTAGTGGTATACACGAGGTCACCGCAGTGGTGAAGCCCATTGTCCCAGCACAACAACAGTATATGCACATATTAATGCTAGACAAAGCCACAGCATGTCTTTGCTTAAATACATTGAACATAACACTATTTCCATCTCCCGCAAAACAAAAAAATAACACTATTTTCAAACAAATATTACTACATCGAGCTGACATTTTCGCAGTACCGTGTTCCATATATCCGCAGCAGACGCATGGCCTAGATAACATACCTCGAAAGCAAAATGGGTTCATTCCTGCAGATATCAATAGTTAGTTAGTTACAACAAAGAAGAAAACCGATGTGGGTGCAATAAAAATAGTTATTTCCGCTGTGCTCTCAGATTAATCCCAGGGCCATCTTATGACATTTTGGGAGCAATATAAAAAATTAGACCAGCTATGCAAAACTGGAAAGTAAAGAGTAAACGGCACATAAGGTGCTCATTCGTGTTTCAGGAGCACCAGGGACATGTAATCCTAGTTCTGAAACATGCTACTATAGATTAATAGAAACACAACATTTCAATGCTAGATAAAAGCTTCAAGGCCCTCAAGCAACATTCTTCTTTCGAGAATCAACATTTCCAGTGAAAGATATGTAAATACTAAGCCCTATAACATGCACTACCATTCCAATAGATAGTCTTGGTTTTTATATAACATCAAAACTGGTAAACCACAATCAAGATTTCACATCTGAGATTTGGCGTGGATAGGCTCAATTGGTGGAATTCAAACTAGCAAAATCAAACACAGCATGGACCAACAGTTGAACAGCAAAAAGTTAAGATCCAAATGATTAAACCAGTCTGGGTCTGGTTACCACCAGAGGACCAGAGGTGCAGTGTACCCAGGAAAACCAAGCCAGTTCCCCTGTTTTTCAAAGGTAATATATTGTGTACAAAAATGCTTTTCAGGTTATGCAAATTTAGTGGGATAAATGCCTTTCCTGGTACGAATTTTTTCGTTACTTGCCCAGTCACTTGACATTGTTGGACACGTCAGAAACAAACCATGACCATCTTCCTTACTTTGACAAATTCTCCCAACAGAAACTGAACCAACCAATAACGTCCTACATGCACAATTAGGACAGCGAAACACCACAAACAAAAACAGAATAAGATTTACCATTTCACAGGAGAGAATCTACAGAAAATAAGCAAGCACTTGGTATGAGAACAAGCTTACAACTTCATATAGTCGGTCTTGACAACGATGGTGGGAAGCCGAAGTATGGGTGGACACGTTCGTGGTTGAAGCATGGCTTTGTCATCCTACAGATTTTCTTAAGCTCTGAAGTCTGGACCTCCACTGAAAAATAATCTATATCCCAAGTATCCACCCATTCAGTTTCATGACAGTCCTGCTGAGATTCTGTAGTGCCTCCGAGAAATAAGAATCCCTCAGCTGCGCCAACGGTGAAATAGTCATATTGGCCAGGCAAGGATATAACATTCTCCAGCCGCCATTCCTTGGGAGATTCGCTGTTATTTTGAGTGGTACAAACAAGACGAAACGATCCATTTGGACTGTGATCACCAACAAGAGACAACAACTCAAGGGATCCTTCTCTACCAACTACAAAGCCAGGCAGACTTCTGGTCTGGCCAGGCCGAGTTCGGTGATGCATACCGTGTTCTGCAAGTGCCTGGCCAGGCAGACGTCTGAGCAGCTCATGGAAGCCACTGTGATCGCTGATAGTGGAAAACTCCATTCTCCGTGTATCCAGAACAAGAAATTTGTCCAGCCAAGGTGACGCCGAGTAGAAGCAGCCACGCACATGGTCGAAACTTGACAAGCCACGGCATCCTCCCGAATCAGAACTGTTCTGCAGCCCATGGGGGCTGTCTGTGCCCAAAGAACTCCAGCTGGGAGAAGCAGGTATACACCATTGCCGAGTAACGGACGAGAAGACGAACGCGACAACCTTGGTTCTGTAGTGCGCCATGCATATCACCCTGAACGACGTCTCATCCTCATCGTCACCGACCGGGGCGAGGACTGGCGCCAATTCAGCAGGGCGTCCTTCCTGGGCGGTTATGTCGTCCTCGGGTACCGGTGGCAGCAGCACGTAGCGCCGCGACAAGGGGTCGCACACGGCGAGGGCGGATTTGAAGGTTCTCCCCGGGACCCTGCAGTCGAGGAGGACGCGGCCGTCGCGGACGTCGCGGGGATGCCAGGGGCTGAGCCACCCCTCCTTGGGCTTGGGCACGAAGGAGTAGGTGAAGTCGGCGGCGTCGAGGAGGGCGCGGGCGAGCCTAGCGGAGGGGTGCGGCGCCTGGGCGGGGTGGAAGCCGCCGCCCCTGTCGTTGATGAGGCCGAGGAGGGGAGGCGGGTGGAGCTTGCGGAAGCGGCGGAGGAAGGGGCGGTCGGTGATGACGCGGCGGAAGGTGGCGCAGGCGGCGGACGCGCACGCGAGCGCCTCCGGGGTGGGCAGGCGGAGGAAGATCTCCTCCAGGATCTCGTCCGCTAGGAGCGAGAGGTGCGTCCCGCGGTCGCTGGTTGGTAGCACCGGCGAGTCCATGGCGGGCGGAGGAATCGGGCGGCAGGTCCCGGCGGAGAGGAAGGGGATCGGTGGTTAGGGTTTGACCAGATTTGGCGGGCCGGCCGGCAGCGCTGAAGAGTGGAGAGGGGGTCGTGTGCTGCTGCGGTGCTGCTCACTTGGAGCGGAGAGGAAGCTGCTGCCCAGAGCACGAGGCCTTAGAGAAGATGCTTACAGAAATAAACCAGTCTTTTTTTTAAGCACCGGTGCTTATTTGTACAGGATATACGCTTAACTAAGCGTCTTTTCGTAAAAATAGGCACCGGTGCTTCAGAAAAACCTGATTTATTTTCTAAGCATCGCTCTAAGCATCTCCCATTGTACAAAGCCTGAGTGAATCCTCTGACATGAAGCAGGGCACGCTAGTGTAAAAGAAGAGAAATAAGCCAACATTGTTATCTACTGTAGCAAGTATTGTGAGTACATAGTTAATGTTTTTTTTTAACAAAGTACATAGTTAATGTTCATATAAATAATTTTTAAATTAATTGTTGCACCATAATTTTGTTTGTATGTAAATTCTGTAAATGTATAAACTAAAATTTTAATTTATAAATTAATTCAAGTCATTTTAGACTTAATCATGTGAAAGTGAAGGGGGACGTTAGGGAACTGTAACTTAGATGATTTCCCTCCTTCATGTTAGAGGATCCACTTCCAGAGCATGAGTTTCCCATGTATAGTCGGGCGCCTCAAACCCGCTCATACGCCCGACCGAAGATCTCCTCCAGGATATCGTCCGCAAGGAGCGAGAGGTGCGTCCGGCGGTCGGCGGTTGGTAGCACCGGCGAGTCCATGACGGGCGGAAGAATCAGACGGAGAGGAAGGGGATCGATGGTTAGGGTTTGACCGGATCTGGCGGGCCAGCCGACAGCACTGGAGACCGGGTGGTGCGCTGCTCACTTGGAGCATGTGTGCTCAGCTGCTCCCCCATCGAGAGCACCAAGTTCGCGTTCGCTGCTAGAGAAATACATCGGTGCTCTCGGGTGCCAGCGCACCCTATATGCAAAAACAATTTAACAGTTTAAAAAAGTTTTAAAAAAATTGAATCTCTTCTGAAATCAAACATGATCAAGTATTATAGTTAGAGAATGACTTTCATTGTATCCTAGATCAAAAATTCGCCAAAGAAACACTATATACAAGTACTATTTATGTTATATATTCGTCATAATTTTGTCATTTTGCCCTAAGGTCAGTAGGAATCATTTCTTGTCCAAACTTTTATACGAGTACTTGATCATATTTGATTACAAAAAAGGGTTTGAATTTTTTGAAATTACTAAACTAGTATATATATATATATACTATCACCCGGTGGTAGTTACCCCACATGTCTCATATACTACCATGTGGTAGTATATATACTATTTTATTATATTAAATATGTTTGTATATTATATCTAAGATATTTCAAAACAAGTTAAATGAAAAAATTGCATGTGAGCTCATAGTTTTTGTTATATTTGTGAAATACGTACATATTTGTATGTAAAAAAGAGCATACTCAAAAAATGATACATAGTACCTAAAAATTTGTATATATACTATCTAATCATTGTTATATACTACATACTACACGTATATACTCTCAGTTTCAACAGATACTACATACAATATACAAAACGCAAGTGGTGGTAACTACCACTGCTTGTAGGAAATATTTGT